GGTTATATCATGTTTAGGGTTCAAGTGCACAGTCTTTCCTTCCCCTCGACTAAATCAGGCTTCGGAACGGAATTCATGTGGCTCTGGTCCAGGCCACCCACTGTCCAGCAACGTATGCATGTGTGGTTCAATAGGCTTACACTGGTAATGTTTTGCCTAGAACAGGACAGGGACGAATTTGTAAGTATGGCAAGTTCAATGGAAGGAGAAATCACAGAGAGACAACAGAACAGTCTCTGTTCAGTCCAGTGGCCAAGTGAAGTGGAAGGTCATTAGCTAGGGAGGTTATCAGCTCCTTCTAATGGACTCTTGTGGCTGGTTGCAAATTCTGCTACCAACTGCCCACACGCACTGCCAAGCAACCCATACAAATTGTATGACCTAATTCTGGGGGAGCTAGGATTTCCGAAAGTGGGGGGAACAAAATTAATTCTATTACATAATTATTAGGAAGATCAAAATTAGAGCAGGAAAAGTTAACACGACGTTGTGGCTCATGTTATTTATTTCCTGGAGACAAGGCTAATGGTTGGTCGTGACGCTCTTTCTAATTATATTTCATTAAAAAAAAACGAACCTTTTCTTCAACAAGTCACTCTTAACGAAAACACAAAGTTTGAAAGTAGCCATTGAAAAGTACTGTTGCGTTCCCTAAATATCAAGTCGATGGTAGCATGGGCTTTATTAGTGTCTACGGGATGTGATATTTAGGGTCAACAATTTATTAAAAGGTGGACGTGAAACAAGGGCTTTGGGTGACAGTCAAACTGTATGGTTGGTTTATTGCTCTCACTTCTCTTCATCAAAGTTCAATGTGGATTTGAAGAAGGTGTAGCTTGACATAATACAACACACAAAAGGCAAAGTTACAGAAAGGCGAAGTTGTATACGAGTGTAACCAAACTACGGTTTGGTAGGACCATAGGAAATGGAAGTTAGACGGAGTGGGTTACGGTACGCGTGTGTAGCATCGCACAACTAGGCTACATTCATCGGGCCGGGCCGTGGTGGGAGCTGTCCCGGACCACCACGGTGACTAGCAATGGCTGGACGGGGCCAGCGCCGGGATGTACTGACCGCACTGCCGCTCAGACCGCAATGTGTTGAGCGCAATGATAAGATCGCTGCACTGTGTACCATTGGCTCAGCGTAGAGACGAGGAGGACTGGGCTAGTTAGCGGGACAAGGCTGGCGAGGGACACGGGGGTGTCTCGCCCGGCAACCGGTTCGGACGTAGCGGTCACGGGCCGCTACGACTCTCACTAGCACCCTGGGCTAATTCGTACCGCTCTCGCAACTAAGGTTTGGTCCGCCGCACCTGACCGACGAGATAGGGAAAATCTGCCCTATTTATAGGATTCCAGAGGCTTAGGAATTAATACAATATGAGCGTCGCTGAACAGCTCAACCAATGAAAATCTTCCATCTCAAAGGGTCACATGACTTCCTGCTAGAGTCGTGTTCAAGAATCAAAGTGTCGTGTGTAAAAAGGTAAAATACACAATAAGAAGTCACGTGTACAAAGTGAAGAGCCAGGTGCGTGAAAGTGCTTACCCTGTCATCTGTGGCGAATGATTGACAGTTACAAAGTCTGAGGTTTCTGAACATTAGCATTTCAGGGAACCTTACCACGCCCAACCACGCAGCCACATGGAGGGGAATTTTGACATGCCAAAACTGAGCAGAGAAAACACAAGGATAAAGGAGTGAAGGATCACGCCATCACGCCAGTACAGCATGAATAACTTAATACAAAATTAGCGTCTCTGCTACATGTCCATAATGCATAGCTGAGCTAAATAAGAGACCCTGAGAAATGCAAGGACCGAGAACGAGTAAAACTAGGGGGCGCTAGAATTCCAAGATTTGTGGGTGTGCAACAGTACAATAACAGAAACAAGACCTGCTACCTATTCGCTCTTTGTACCCTAGCGCCATAGGCATGTAGAGCCTCGATCTGGCAGCTTTTTCCTTGTATGTTGGTAAGTAATTTTGGGCATGATGCTGCGTTAGTTCTTCTACCATCTATCCTATACGATTGGAGAATATTTCAAAAGCTGTCAGTTCAAGGCTCTGCATGCTTATGGTGGCAGTGTACAAAAAGCGAATACCATGTACTGGGAGCATGCATTCCTCTATTCAAGTAAGAATTTCTGCTCAGCTCATTAGCATTAAAAGTAGCAGTCCAGCGTTTTTCTGAAAAAAGGAGATTGTTTGGCCCCCGAAATGGTAAGATTGTGTAAATCGTTGCCAGGATCAACTGCCTGGGTCTTTGAGCTATCCTATGAGAGCAGAATGGGTTAAACTACAACTGAAAAATGGTCCTAAGTGCCCAAGAAGGTTGAGGGTTGCCACATGAAAAATGGCTGCAATCAGACTTCAGAAAAATCACTTTTGGGGGGTGATTTTGTTTTGTGGGAATAATTTAAAATGTAATTGGTTAACCCAAACTAAATTGAAAAGAAATCGAAAGTTTAGGGACCAAACAATAATTATATTTGTGTTTCAGCAATCTGAAAGATGTTGGTATTCATGTTATTTGCCCTGAACAGTGCCGATTTAACACTGTTTTCAATGGGGCTTAAATTAGTGGACTGTACCTACTATGCAAGTACGGGGGGCGGAAATGAAAGAAACAGTGAAGGCGCCCTCTATAAACACCAAGAAACAAAGGGCAACAGCACACGACGTGTCGCGTCGTGCTCCAGGCGACGCGATGCACGATACGACGTACAACGCGACGCACGACGGTATGACGCGGCGGGCGACGGAAGGGGCGACGTTAAGGTGGGAAAAAATGCAACATGAAAAGGACCTGAGACAGCACGACGCGACGCACGACGCGACACGCCGTGTGTGTACAAACGAAATAGCAAGAAGGCGACGGTTTGACCCGATGGCACGACGCAAGGGAGCCGTCGCGCCGTCTGGTTGCGTCGCCTGGAGGGATGCAAGAGAGAGAGAAATGTTTGTCGTAAATAGTACACCATACGCTAGTGCCTGTTGCCTGCAGTAGGACGATGCATGTTCCACGCAGAATAAGCTGTCCTATAATACATAGCTCTCCTGCGACCGGAGCGTACTCCTTACATTTTTCGACCTTACGAGTGCGAATTGCCTCTCTCACGTTTGCAAGCTTTCCGTGGCCGGCGGACACGACTTCGACTCGCCTCGTAGTCATGGCACGTGGCGTCGCAGATATGGCCACGAAACGAACATAGTCATCTGCACTATGGGCATGTTCAACTTTTCCCTTGCTACTTGAGAGGCGTGACAAGGCATCAGCGATATTCTCGCGTCCGAGGAAATAGACAACTTTGTAGTTCTACAGTTGTAAGAATAGTACCCAGCGTTTAATTCGGGCACGTGGTTTGAAACGGGGTCTATATGGCCTCAAGTGGCATGTGGTCTGTCAGAAGCTCCAAGTCACTGCTGTAGATTTAGGCATGGAACCTTTCACAGGCCCAAACCAACGAAAGCGCTTCTTTTTCTGTTTGCAAATATCTTCTCTCGCGGTCGGTCAGGCTGCGGTTTGCGTGGCAGATTGGGACTAAACCGTCACGCTACTCCTGAACTAAAACTGCACCCAGGCCGACTGGGCTCCCGTCACCTATGACCTTCGTCGGTGCTGTTTATCATAGTACGCGAGTGTGGTTGCTTCCGCTAGGCTTTCCTCGAGCGCGTTGAAGGCTGCTTGCTGGTATGGCCCAAATTGAAACGGAATGCCTTTTTGGGTCGGACAGGGAAGCGAAGTTTGGTATGAATCTGCTACTGAACCAAACTAAGCCTAGAAAATTCCGAACCTCTGAAACCTTCTCGGGCTCTCTAAATTCAGATACAGCTCTGTCACGCTCTTGCGTGGGACCAATAGAGGGATTTCACATTAGCGCTGTCTGCGCACATCTGCATCGAAACCGAGGCTCTCTGTGTTGAATTTCTTCGCACCCG